GCCCAAGCCAAAATGACCAAAACCAAAATCTTTACAAAAACTCCATTAATAAAGCAGGAAACTCCTGAATGTGGGAAGACACACATTCTGCAACAAGTGGCAATCCCTTATCACTAAGACCAAACTCTATCATCTAAGATGACAATGCTCACTTTCACACAAAGGGTTTATCAAAGTTCCTCCAGAATTTGGGAATGGGGAGGATGAAATGGCAGTCTTGACTCAACCCCACTGAATACTTGTGGGGTCAGCTTAGGGCAAATATTCTTTGGACTGTGGCATTAAAATAACACATAACTTCATAAAGAAACATCATACCAAATGTCAAACATAATGGCAACAATGTGATTATCTGAAACTGGTTTACTACTTCAGGACCTGGATGACTTTCCTTTACTGATGGAACCATGACTGCTGCAATCTAGTTGTACTGTTCAAAATTATACATGTGCAAGACACTGTTAATACTCTCAATAATGGATTTAAAGCTGCAGATTTCATTGTTAAAAGCAAATGTCTTGAGATGAGGTGACTGATTTTCTCTGACTTGCAGATTGCTGTGCTATGAAACTGGTATAGCACACAATTAAAGAGTTTTTGTGTAAGCTGTGCAATTATAAAAATTACTGTGATTATCATTATAATCAATGATGACATCGTTATTTCAGGTAAAGGGTGATTACGACAACATCTCATCGCTGATTCAGCTCAAAGTCATTAACAAAACAAGTGAGTGCACAAAATGGGATATTAAAAAGCATGTGATCGCTAATAACAACAGAGGTGTTTGTTTTGAAATGCTTTCATTTATTACAACCTCAATGTGGTGACTCAGAGGAGAACTAATGTAATGTAAACCCACCACTATAAAATCTTAAAAACAGCTCTTTATCTTGTTTTTAAATTAAAGTAAAAAATGAAACATAATTCACGGCCTTTTAAGTGAAAGTGAGTCCACAGTGCAACTTGAGAATGAACGAATGAAAGAAATCACTGAGGGCTAATTTGAAGAGTGGAACCTGCATTGAAAAAAATTATGAATGGGAGGAAGTGGACTAAATGCAAGGCACAAGAGACAAAATACTATCAAAATAAAACAGGATGTGAACAATATCATATGCAGCAACAATAACTAAACAAGAACAGAAGACAAATGAGGATGAAATGATGACCCAGCCAACCAGATGGTGAGTTGGATGCTGCAGTCTTTTTTTTTTTGCTTAACTTATGTCTGACTTTTGTTCCTGTTAATTTAGAAATGCAGGTTTCGAGTTTAGTTTGATAGTTTGTTATTTATTCTAGGTTCCTTTTGTTTATCAACATTATTAATCTTCCTAGAATCAGTTGTTTAAGATGGTTTTTGAGATTTGTCGTATTGTTTATCTTTTGGTGTTTCCTTATTGGGTTCCTGTTTGAGTCTTTTAGCTCTTGTTAGTTTGATGTCTTGGTTTGGCAGTCTAATATTTGTGGAGTTTTTTTATTTGAGTTTCATACATTGTTTTTTCTTCTCTTGTTTTTTGTTCTGTGGGTTTTGTGCTCTTGCTTTATTGAGTTCCCAGTGACTTACTTAAAATGTTGCATTTTTTAACCTCCTTATGGTTTCCTGTGGTTTTCCTTTAGTTATTTTCTGCTTGGTGGTTTGTTGACCTAAATAATTATTCTAGATGCTTCTGTGAGTGTAAGCAAGAGTGGCCATTTAACCTATGTACCAGTACAATGTTAATAGCAACATATCTGAGGAAGAATATACTTTGGAGATGTTGATTCTGTGTTATTGATAAAATACGAACACATTTCGCAGACTTGTTATTTCAAATATAGAATAAATATAAATTGGTGGAAACTTTATTGCAAAAAATACATTGATATTCGTTTTTCCAGAAGCTCTTTTGGGCATTTATTTAAAATTGATTATCAGAGAGGGTAATAAGACATCTAGATTGTCTTGGTTCTGAGTCTTTAATGACTGACTGTTCAGAATTGCTTTGCTCAGTTAGAATTGCTCAGGGCTGCGTCAATTATTTGTAAATATAAACCAAACTGGTTTTAAATTTCATGGTTTCAGCAGTCAAACAGTGGGTTTTTCTGAATGATCAACTTTATAAAGAAAGTACCAATGACTGTAAAAACATAAAACATGGAATCGGTGAACTTGTCTATTAAGATTTCAGTTAAAAAACTGTAGACTTCTCTATAAAGCTGTAACCAAACTGTGTGACTGTCACATTTTTATGAGGTGTTAGTAGTTCTAACACGTTCTCATCCCAAAACGTAGCATTATACGCTATGTGATAAATCGTCGGTATGTTACGCTTCCGGAATGAGAACAATCTCGTTGTTCACATACAGGCAGTCTGCAGGTGTTTTACACAGAAACACCACACTGAGTTTCAATTTGGTAGTATTCTCGTTATCTTCCATCACATTAACATGACAAGAGACCAGTTAAACCACAGCACTGTTAGCTGATGAAACTGTGCAGCAGGGGCAGCAGCAGCAGTTCAGGTATTTGAGTCCCCTCATTATTGTCACTCTTAGTTTGGATTCTAGCACAGATGTGAATATAAAATCTAAATCTAAAGTGATCAGTAGTTAGCAGTTTTATAAATATTTATATTGATGTGTAACTACAGTTTGCTGACAAGCCTGATAAACTACCGTGAGTATAATTTATATATGTATAATCCTTTTTTAGCAGCTCTAAACTAAACCAAGGCTTATGCTAAGCCTAACATTTTATACTTGCATATGTGTCACTGTGTGGATATTTTTCGTACGTTATCCTCCTCCTTGTGTTTAATGCATTGGACAACGTGGACGTGTGTTACCAGATGTGTGTGTGTGTGTATATATATATATATATATATATATATATATATATGATTTCACAATATAGCTTTATAAAAAATGAACTTTGACCCTACTATCTTCTACCTGCCCACTGGATGCAACAGCTGTGGACTGTACGCTCTCTGGTCAAAATGGTTTTCTGTGGAATGTTTCAGCAGTACAAATTCAGCAGCAGCAGAAGGAAAACTCAAAAGTGATTTTTAACTTATTTCATATCGTAAATCTTTACAGAGTTACGAAACGCAATAAGGAACATGATCGCAAGGTACCATGAATGCCTGTTTTTGAGGTATGGTTTGGTTAATTTAACACTTTATTTTTGAGATGCTGCAAAAGGATTTTGCAGATCAGCTACTAATTTGTTTTTAAAACCTTGAATTTTTTGTGTGACACTTTTCTCTCTGTGAGTTTTGCTGTTATCAGACACCATTGAAAGTTAGACACCCACTGTGGGGATTTTGCATCTGATGTTGTGCTGCGTTGTAGCCCCATTGATGCTTGTTGAATATCCCATTGATCATTTCCACTGATTTATATATCTACTGGCTTGAATGTTTTTGCGCTCTCTTGTCTCTTCACTGTGGCCACAGAACAAAAAAAAGCAAAAAAGCTAATCAAAAAATCGAACACTGGTACCACAGTCATTTTGTGGTTGACCATTGTAGATCTAAAGACAGGTGAACTGCAGCTTGTAAGTGTCAGAGCAGAACGTTGTGAAAAGGTTTAGACTGTTTTTTAGTGTTTAATAAGCATATGCTTCCTGTTCAGTATCAGAATGAAATTACAGCTGGTGCTAACAGACTGGGATCAGGCAGGTCTCATTATTTTTTCTTCTGTCTGTCAATCCTGCAGTAGCCCAGGGTCACAGCTGTTAATTGTAGAACAGTTCAACAGATGTCAGTTATGACATTACACCTGAGTTTTACAGCTCATTACTTACAAACAAAGAAATCCCTCGCTTCAGTTTAACCATACAGAGAGTTGTTTCCTGTGTCTGTGTTCATGACAAAGCTCAGAACCGCAGATTAAGATTATTTATAGATCTGTGCTGATTGTGAGCTGCAAGATCAGAGTCAAGCAAAAACGTGTTTCTGAAATATGATAAAAATAAAGGAAAACAAGAAAGAAAAGAAAGAAAAAGGCTGTGTCTATCTGCACATCTGACAGTGTGATGTTAAAAAGATGGAAATCAGTTGCAAACTTAAAACACACTCTACAAGCAGTCATTAGAAGGCAAGCAACATTATGAGTTTTAGTGCTGAATTAGAGCCGTCCTTTTAAAATGATGCCATCAAAGTTCCCTTCACTGCTGAAAAACAGATAGTGACCTCAGTCTTGTTACAGGGCTTATAAATGGCATCTGTCATTTATGGATCTGTCATCTAGAGCGGGTCAGCTACTAATGCAAGGTTGCTGGTTCAACCCCTGGCTGCTCCAGGCTTCATGTTCCAGTATCCTTGGACAAGGATGCTTTCATCATTGTTGATCGAAAACACTTTGCAACTCGACTAAGCATGTAGTAATAATAATGGATTGCATTTATATAGCGCTTTTCGAGAACCTCAAAGTGCTTTACAATACCACTATTCATTCACTCTCACATTCATACACTGGTGAAGGCAAGCTACAGTTGTAGCCACAGCTGCCCTGGGGCAGACTGACAGAGGTGAGGCTGCCATATCGCGCCATCGGCCCCTCTGGCCATCACCAGTAGGCGGTAGGTGAAGTGTCTTGCCCAAGGACACAACGACCGAGACTGTCCGAGCCAGGGCTCAAACCGGCAAGCTTCCGATTACAAGGCGAACACCCAACTCTTGAACCACGATCGCCCTGTATGTATTAGCCATACTCATCTACATGTGGATGTCACACTTTTATGGATGTAATAGGTTGCATTAAACTGCAGTACCAGCAGATGGAGACATTCTATTTCAAGCCAACATGAAAACAGTCTTGGAAAATATTTAGAGAAACATTATTAACACATTGTAATTATACTCAAATACATATCAGCCACCTAGCTTAATCATCTCTGGCGTAGTAGGAGTCTGGTATGTATTTCATACCTTCCTTGGTCACTCGAAATCTCTCTCCT